AGGCTATGCCTACTTTAGGCTAAGCTAAGCTAGGTCAGCCTTAGTTATGGCTAGGCTATGTTAGGCTTAATATATATAATAAAGGTTGGGTTAGGTCAGACCTACTTAAGGCTAGGCTAGGTTAGGCTAAGCTAGGTTTAGTTAATGCTAGGTTAGGTTAATACTAGGTTAGGCTAGGTTTCGTTAATACTAGGTTTACCTGGAGTTTACCTGGAGAGGGTTTTGGGGGTCAATGCCCGTGCGGCTCGGTCTGAGACCAGACCTCATGGTGGATCAGGGTCTGATCAACCAGGTTGTTACTGCTGGCTGCAAGCAAGCTGACATATGAACCACAGCCTGGTTGGTCAGGTACTGACTTGAGGTGCCTGTCCAGTGCCTTCTTAAAGACAGCCAGGGGTCTATTCGTAATCCCTCTTATGTATGCTGGGAGGCAGTTTAACAGTCTTGGGCCCCTGACACTTACTGTGTTGTCTCTCAATGTACTCGTGGCGCCCCTGCTTTTCATTGGGGGAATGTTGCATTTCCTGCCGAGTCTTTTGCTTTCATAGGGTGTGATTTTCATGTTTAGGCTAAGTTTAGTTAATGCTAGGTTAGGATAGGTTTAGTTACTGCTGTTAGGCTATCTTTAGTTAATGCTAGGTTAGACTAGGCTAGGTTTAGTTAAGGCTAGGAAATGCCATCTCTAGATATACATTTTTGTTCACATTTGCTCAGGCTCCAGACATGTCTCAGTGTTCTGAGTGACCAAAATATATTTATTCATTTTTAAATATACATAAATTTAGTTGGACACACAGTCACTTAAGTAACAAACACATGAGGTCACACTAGAGCCTATAATGATATATTAAAGGAACCCAGCGGAAATAAGTCACTCTGTCTCCCCTTTTTTGGGTTATCCCAGATTCTTACACTATGCTGCTATTACCTGGAGTTTACCTGGAGAGAGTTCCGGGGGTCAACGCCCCCGCGGCCCGGTCTGTGACCAGGCCTCTTGGTGGATCAGAGCCTGATCAACCAGGCTGTTACTGCTGGCTGCACGCAAACCACGTACGAGCCACAGCGGCTGATCAGGAACCGACTTTAGGTGCTTGTCCAGTGCCAGCTTGAAGACTGCAGGGGTCTGTTGGTAATCCCCCTTATTATGCTGGGAGGCAGTTGAACAGTCTCGGGCCCCTGACACTTATTGTTTTGGTCTCTTAACGTGCTAATGACACCCCTGCTTTTCATTGGGGGGATGTGCATCGTCTGCCAAGTCTTTTGCTTTCGTGTGAGTGATTTTTCGTGTGCAAGTTCGGTACTAGTCCCTCTAGGATTTTCCAGGTGTATATCATCATGTATCTCTCCCGCCTGCATTCCAGGGAATACGGGTTCAGGAACCTCAAGCCTCCCAGTAATTGAGGTGTTTTATCTTCGTTATGCGCCCCGGTGAAGGTTCTCTGTGCATTTTCTAGTCAGCAATATCACCTGCCTTGAAAGGTGCTGTTAGTGTGCAGCAATATTCCAGCCTAGATAGAACAAGTGACCTGAAGAGTGTCATCATGGGCTTGGCATCCCTCGTTTTGAAGGTTCTCATTATCCATCCTGTCATTTTCCTAGCAGATGCGATCGATACAATGTTATGGTCCTTGAAAGGGGAGATCCTCCGACTTGATCACTCCCAGGTCTTTGACGTTGTGTTTTCGCTCTATTTTGTGGCCAGAATTTGTTTTTTTACTCTGATGAAGATTTAATTTCCTCGTGTTTACCATATCTGAGTAATTGAAATTTCTCATCTATGTATGATAATTCTATGTAACTGTATTTGTGTATACCTGAATAAACTTACTTATAATATAGTTGTGTTAGTGTCCCTTAGCTCGATTGCTAGTGCACTCAGCTCACACGCTACGGTCCTTGGTTCGATCCCCGGTACGGGTGGAAACATTTGGAGGTTTCTTTAAGACAGTTGCTGTCCCTGTGCACCTAGCAGTAAAATAGGTACCTGGGTGTTAGTCGACTGGTGTGGGTCGCATCCTGGGGCAAAATTGACCTAATTTGTCTGAAATACTGTACATAACAAGCAGCTTTCTATATAGTAGTATGTCACTGATGTCAGCTGGACCTGTATACCTTGCACATGTACTTGTAGAAATAAAGATTATAATTATTATTAAAAACTTACACCTCTTCAACTTGTGATGCCAATTATTATTATTAATACTATTATTATGTTGTTATTGGGTTTATCAGGGACATTGACATCATAAGCCGTATCGAGCCCGACTTCTTGATGGTAAGCAAGTTTATTCAGGTATATACAAATACAGTTACATAGAATTATCATACACAGCAGCCTATGTGTAGAGAACCTGGGATAACCCAAAAAAGTCAGACAGAGGAAGATTTGTTGCCCAAGGCTGGGCGATGAAAGAAAAGGAACAAAAGTTCCTTGTTAAGAGAGATAGAAACTAAGTTTCCAATTAGATCCAGTGGACGCCCTTGCCACGCCCCAGCAGAGATGGACGCCCACACTCCCACCTGAGTTCAGTAACCAGCTGCCCACCAAGGACCGTTATTATCCGCAGAGCGGAAAAAATGGAGCTGGCTAAAAGTAAGCCGATGAACAGGTGCCCCTCCTGTAGTGCCAGGTGCCCCTCCTGTAGAGTGCCAGGTGCTCTCCTGTAGTGCCAGGTGCACCTCCTGTAGTGCCAGGTGCCCTCTGTAGTGCCAGGGCCCTCCTGTAGTAGTGCCAGGTGCCCCTCCTGTAGTGCCAGGTGACTCTGTAGAGTGCAGGGCCCCTCCTGTAGTGCCAGGTGCCCCTCCTGTAGTGCCAGTGTGCCCCACCTGTAGTGCCAGGTGCCCCTCACTGTAGTGCCAGGTGCCCCTCTGTAGTGCCAGGTGCACCTCCTGTAGGTGCCAGGTGCCCTCTGTTAGTGCCAGGTGCCCTCCTGTAGTGCCAGGTGCCCCACTGTAGTGCCAGGTGCCCCTCCTGTAGTGCCAGGTGCCCCTCCTGTAGAGTGCCAGGTCCCCTCTGTTAGGTACCAGATGCCCACCTGAGTGACAGGTGCCCTCCGTAGAGTCCAGGGGCCTCCTGTAGTGCAGGTGCACTCTTAGTGCCAGGTGCCCCCGTAGGCCATGTGAACCGTAGAGTGCTAGGTGCCCCTCCGTAGTGCAGTTTTGCCCCTGTTAGAGTGCCAGGTGACCTCTGTAGTGCCAGTGCCCCTGTTATGCAGGTGCCCTCCTGTAGAGTGCCCGGTGCCCTTCTGTAGTGCCCGGGGCCCCTCCTTTTGTCCCAAAGGTCCCCCCTCCTGTAGAGTGCCAGGTGGGCAAGAGAGATAAAGGACAAGCGTCCCAGTGAAAACGGGGGAAAAATTTGTAAATGATACTTAGGCAAAGAAAAAAAATGTTCACACCCAAACCGAAGGCGGGTTTCACAAGTAAAAATTTTTAACCCCGGGGGGGTTGGGGCCACCCGGATAACCCAAGAAACCCAGTGCGTCATCGGGGAAACTAACTTTTTTTCCCAAATTGGGGTCCTTTAATTTTGTCCCCCAGGATGCAAACCCCACACCAGTCGACAAACCCCCGGGTCCCTATTTGCTGCTAGGTAAACCGGACAACAGATGTAAGGAAACGTGTGAAAGTTTCCCCCCAAACCGGGAATCGAACCCGGGGCCCTCCGTGTGTGAAGCGGGAGCTTTAGCCACAAGGGCCCCGGGGTCACACAGCATCTTTGGTAAAAATAAACAGTCAAGTGGCCCCCGGGGGCCTGGTGGCTAAAGCTCCCCCTTCACACACGGGGGGGGCCCCCGGGGGCGATTCCCCGGGAGGTGGAAAAAAATTTCGAAAACGTCCTCTGGGTTTTTCTTCAACTCTAAAACTCATTGGTTAGGCCCTTTAGATTAGCTGCACAGTTTTTGGGCCAAAAGAAATTTCAGAAAGGATAAAATTTCTGGAAAAGTACAAAAGGGGGTGACAAAAATTGGGTCCCAATGTATCAGAAAAACCCTTCCCCCAAGAGGATAACTTTAAGGGCCCCCCAATCTGCCTTCTAGAAAACGTGAAAATTTGGGGGGGTTTTGTTGAGGGGGTATAAATGGAAGGGCAGGAAAAATAAAGGGGGGTGGGGGAAAAGTGTTTCTGAAAATATCTAAACCTAGACCCGACTCGCAGCAATGGTTTTTTTAAATTTTAAAAAAATTTAGATTCAGGGGGGATATAGGGGAAAATTTCTGGTTTTTGGTTTTAGAGTTGTGGATTTATTTGGGAAAAAACTTCCCCGGGGTACAGTTATAGAGGCCAGAAAAGGGTTTTGTTTGCTTTTTAAAAAAAAGGTTGGGTAAATACTTTAGTGGAAAGTGGGGGGGTGTGAGTTTTTAAACCCGATAGCTTGAGCTACCAGGGCGGTTGCCTGTTTTCCCCCCTTAAGTCAATGTGACCTGACCCCGACTAGGGTTTTGGGTGGGTTGGCTTAAGCCCGGAAAGGGGACTTGGACCTGCCTGCATGGGGCCAAATAGGGCCCTTTTCCCGTGTTTCCCCTTTGTTCTTAAATTTCCTTTCCCCCCGTTGCCCTGTTCACCACCCGCAAATTGGTACCTGGGGGTTTTGTCGGGCTGGTGTGGGGCGCATCCTGGGGGACAAGGTTAAAGGGCCCCAATGGAAAAAAGTTACATCCTCCCATGAAAGCACTGGGCTTTCTTGGGGAAACCTGGGTGGCTAACCCCCGGGGTTTAAAAAAACCGAACGAAAACTTTCTTTTCTTAATTTGAATTTAAGGGGAAGGGGGAAAAACAAAACCCCCAAACTCCCCAAAAACCCCCCAAAGGAAAAAAATTCCACTTTGATATTTTATTTTTTTTTTTGGTTATTTCCAGGAAAAATTCCCCTTAGTATGATAACTGTATTTTTGTGGAATTTTGCCTAAATTTTTTTCTTTTCAGACAATAAGAGGGGCCCCTGACCAGCAAGAAGCCTCCCTCCAGGGGGCGAGACCTGCACATATATAACCTTGACATACCTGTAAAACAATGATCCTTCACGCTCCTAACTCTGAGTCATAGTTGCTAGAACACACCTGCACATAGAGACAAGCTCTACATGTGGTGTTCACCAGATATATTACGTCTCTTGATAACTTCGTCACAGGTGGTGGACGAGTCACGTCTGACGCCTGGCAGTCACTGCCTCGCCCTCAGCCTGGGAGACACACCCCCTCTCTAGTATTTTATATTCTATACTTATCCATCCCCTCAAGGAAGGTTCCTTGATGTTGGTGAGGGGCTCTTGATTTAGGGAATTGGATCTGTGCTCCAGTTCCCCGAATTAAGCCTGAATGCCTTCCACATCCCCCCCCCAGGCGCTGTATAATCCTCCGGGTTTAGCGCTTCCCCCTTGATTATAATAATAATAATATACTTATCCATAAACCTTGATGAGATCTAGTACTTATTATATATTTTAAATTAATTATAGAAAGTGAGTTAAAATTAGTAATGTCTTTAACTTACAGTAGGCATGTATGAATGAATTGGACGACATAGTGGACGGTACAGACCCACACGTCCTGTACCTGTCTATTTTCATGTACAATTTACATATATAAACAGGTAAATTGTGAAAACTTGATGTATTGGTCTTCAGATGCATGATAGTACTGATGAATTGGCTAAGTTATATGCTTTCAAAGAGGGAGCAGATTACAATCTTGGGTTGTCAGTTAGCAGTTTGTGAACAATAATACGAAAAGAACTTCAACTGAATTTTATTGACTTAAGACTAAGGAAGACTGACACCAGTCAGTCCATCTATCATCATTCCATCATGCAGGAGGAGCTACATGTCTATGATACATGATGATGCAGGGCCGGATTACCGCATAGGCAAATTAGGCATTTGCCTAGGGCCCCGTGCATTTGGGGGCCCCGCAAGAAATAAAATTAATGAACTACGTTTGGTAGCATGTGCTGGGAACTTTGATATCATTGCATTAACTGAAACGTGGTATGATTTAAAGAGTCGGGATATGACTGCTGAGTGTAATATTCAGGGATTTAAGTTGTTCAATGTGGATAGATGTAATGGGAAGGGGTGAGGAGTTGTATTGTATGTTCGAGAAAATATTAATTGTTGCATAAAAACAGGTATAAAAATAGATGGAGCAG